AAAGGTGGAGCCGGCCCCTGGAGCAGGTACCAGCCTGGGCACTGGCGGCCGTCCCCACGTCCTGCTGGTTCCCACCTCTCATTCTGGCCTGTCCCTGTAGGCTTGAAGGCCTCAGGCTGGCGGGAGCCTCCACAAGCACCTCCTCTCTGCCCTCAGCCGTCTTGGGGCCACCAGGCAATGAGTGCCGAGACCACTAGGCCTAAGGGACAGGAATCCAGCATCCTTGCCATCGCCCCAGCCGCCTCCTGCCTGTCCCTGGCCTTAGCTCCTGCCCTGTCCCTGGACCCCACCTCCATGGCCCACCTCATTCTGTTCTCATTTTGCAGAGTTGCACAAGGAGAGAACTCAGCATGGGGGGGTTGGTTCTTTTGGGTTTTGTTTGTTTAATAATTTGTAAAGTGATGTTCCTCTTCCTTTTTTTTACACTTTTCAGCTCATATTTAACCTCTGTTTGGAAAATGATTCTTGTAACTGTACATTTTTTTTGCCTCTTGATAATAACGATAACAACAATAAATTACCAATTTTGGGTTGAAAAAATTATTTTCTCTCAACTCTGCTACCATCTCTCCTTTTTTCTCTTGTGCATTCCTCCTTTATTATGGGTTATTGTACTTTTGACGTTTTCTTTCTTTACCAATGTTCCCTGTATTATCTGATGATGGCTATAGCATATTGTTGTTGGTTTTAGGTGTTACTGAGTTGACTATGACCTATGAGCAACAGATCTGAACTCTGTCCTGTCTTGTGCCATCCTTTTAAGTTTGTTACTTCTCTGGTGGGTTTCAATTCATAGGCAAAAATATGGGTAATCTCCTCCTATGTGATTTCCAGTCTCAGAAAACTTGCTGGAGGGTCGGCTATGAGTTGGCTCAGATTCCATGGCAATGTTTTGTTGAGTGATTACATTTGATAGAAAATAGTCTCAGCTTATGCGTAATTTATTACCAATTCTAAAATGAAAACACTACTACCTCTTCTCTTTAAGAGAAGGTTGTTGTTCTTATGTGCCGTTGAGTCGTTTGTGACTCATAGCCACCCTATATACAACAGCCCTAAACCCTGCTCTATCCTGTGCCAATCACACTGCCTCTGACACACCCATCCTGATTACCCCAGTTACTGAATCACTCTACCTCATAGAGGGTCTTCCCCTCCTGTGTTGTCCCTCTACTCTACCCAGCATGATGTCCCTCTCCAAAGACCAGTCTCTCCTTGCAGCATGTCCAAAGTATGTCAGACGAAGCCCCAGAATCTTTGCCTCCAAGGAGTAGCCTGGTTTAACCCTCTCCAGGATAAATCTGTTTGTTTTCTTGGCAGTCCATGGTACTTTCAATACTCTTCTCCAGCACACAGCTCAAAGGCGTCAGTTCTCCTTCTGTCCTCCCTAGTCATTGAGAGAAGGAGATGCAGATATTTTACTTTTCCTCCATTTCTTTTGTTTGTCCTGTAACTTTTCCTCATCCCCACCGTAATGGATATGGTGATAAACTACAACCTTTTACTAAATTTATTCTAGTTAAGTTGATTTTATTTTATAGATTCTTACAGATAAATTATTGCTCATATTGCATTCTGCTTTGTGACTGTTTTTTTTTTTAAATAGCTTAGTATAACTTTTTATTTTTGTTGTTGTTATATGCCATCGAGTTGCCAGTGACTCATAGTGACCCTGTGTACAACAGCTCTGAACCCTGCCTTGTCCTGAGCCAGTCTCGCTGACTCCAACCACCTACCTCTATTGACCCATTTACTGTGTCAATCCATCGTATTTGGGGTCTTCCTCTCCAGTACTGTCCTTTCAGCTTTCTGAGCATGATGTCCTTCTCCAAGGATCGGTCCCTACTGGTGACATGTCTAAAGTATGTGAGACAGAGATTCAATATTCTTGCCTCCAAAAAAAAACTTGGTTTCACCCTCTCTAAGACAAGGAGAAACTTGGTTTCACCCTCTCTAAGACAAGTGTTTAAGTGTTTTCCATTAGAAATGAAAGAAGAGGGAGAAAAACAACCAAAAAACAAAAACAAGCCAACAAAACAGTGGATAATATTGTGGATGAGAGTCTTGACTTTAGCCTCAAGACAAGCCCCTTGGGTATCTGACAAGTTTTCTCTTTTCATCTCAAGGTCTCGTAGGTGGTGTCCTTGGCCATGCCATTTATCGTCTATTAAGGTAGCAGGCCCATTTGTAGGACCAAAAGGCAAGAATGGCTGTAATGCTCGTATTTTTTGCACTTTGTTGTGTTGTGCCTTTAAGTCAGAATCGACCTACAGCTAAACCTTTCAGCAGATTTTCAGAGGCAGTAAATCACACAAGAGGAGACTGTTCTTCTTTCTCCTGCAGAATGTTGTTGTTGTTGTTATGTGCCGTCGAGTCGTTTGTGACTCATAGCGACCCCATGTACAACAGCCCTAAACCGTGCTCTAGCCTGTGCCAATCTCATTGCCTCTGACACACCCATCCCGAGTACCCCAGTCACTGAATCAATCCACCTCATAGAGGGTCTTCCCCTCCTGTGCTGTCCCTCTACTCTACCCAGCATGATGTCCCTCTCTAAAGACCTGTCTCTCCTTACAACATGTCCAAAGTATGTCAGACGAAGCCCCAGAATCCTTGCCTCCAAGGAGCAGCCTGGTTTAATCCTCTCTACGTGGATTATGAACCAAGTACCTTTGAATTGACAGTGCAATGCCTTACCACTCAGCCACCAGAGCTCCGCCCTGCACTTTATCCACCACATATTTTAACTGAGGAGCAGAACCTTCTGAAATCTTTCTGGTTCCTAGTTTTTCTTCTTATCATACCTTCTGTCTTCCTTCCCTCCAACCTTTGCCCCACCACTGTAAGATCCCAAACACCCTTCCAAAGTAGCTTTGATCTTAGATAGTCAGTTTGTAAGTACAGCTCGTCAAGGATTGAGCAGTTTCCCAGAGCCACTTCAAGCATTCGTTTTGGTGAGGTGAAGGAGTTCAATATCCATGTCTCAGGTTGCTGTATGTGGCACAAATTTCCTAGAACGTTGATTGTTCTCAGGCTGGGGAGTCCAGAGTCAGGGACTTCAGGACACACCATAAGCATGATAGTGAGCAAATCTGATCTGTCTTCACCCCAGTGGGACCCTTCCCTTATTACAGCTCTCACAGGGGGTGTAGCAAATATCTAGCTGTTCCAGGTGCAAAAGATATTTTAGAAGCTTCCCATCATCAGAGCCTGCACCTGCGTGTGACTCTACTACTGAGAATCTCTCATTCAGGTTCATAGGCTCCCTGTGCGTCAGACGGCATGTAATTCTTCTCTAAGGAAAACACTTAAATCACAGGGCATATAGCTGAGTTCAGATTTGGGTTGCAGCATGTTAATGTTTGAGAGATTTTCAAAAGTTTAGGGCAACGTGACAAGTTGGATGCAGCTGGAATTGATTTACTCATTTATTTCTCTTGAGTTGTGTATGTGTGTGAGTGTGTGTATGGATGTACGTGTTTGCATGCATGCCTGCTTATGCATATGAATGGGCATGTGTGTATGCATGTATTTCCTGTTCCAATAGCAAATGTGACCTTGGAGTTGACTGCTAACCTTCAAGCAATGCACTTTTTCCCCCCTTCTTAAGCGTTATTCTTTTTTTAATAATTTTAATGAGTATTTACAGAGATTTTGGATTTCCATTCATTCATTGCTGCACTTCTCTCCCCGCCCAGTCCTCCCCCGCCCCATTTCGTTCCTCTCTTTCAAAAGTAAAAGAAACACTCCCTCCCTGGGATACAATCCCCCCACACCCTTCCCGCTGCCCCAAGTACAATCCACTATGCAACCTTAGTTGTGGACTCTTGTGATAACCATAATACCCTATCATACATGGCTTTTAAATTATTCACTCCCTCATCTGTTTCAGTGAAGTATACACAATTTATCCAGTTTTTCTCAGTCTTACCCCAACCCTGATATCAGTCCCATTTCACAACAGTGGCACCATGTAATATTTGTCCTTTTGCGACTGAGATATCTTACTCAGCATAATGTCCTCCAGGGTCACCCATGTGAATAATATTGCTCGAGTTCCTTATTTTTCAATGCAGCATAGTATTCCATTGTGTGAATATACCACAGCTTCTCTATCCATTCATTTGTTGATGGGCATTTAGATTGTTTCCAACTCCTTGTTATTTTGAACAGAGCTGTGATAAACATGAGTGTGCATATATCTGCTTGGATGTCAGTTATGGTCTCTTTGGAATATATTCTCAGTAGTGTAATTGCTGGGTCAAAGGGTATCTCTATTTGCAACTTTTTGAGAGAGCACCATACCGCCTTCCACAGTGGTTGCACCATTTTACACTCCCACCAACTGTGAATAAGGGTTCCAGTTTCTCCACAACCTCGCCAGCATTTGTTGCTTGCTGTTCTTTTAAATTTTGCTATTCTGCCTGGGGTGAGATGATATCTTGTAGTTGTCTTGATTTGCATCTCTCTTAGAGCTAGGGATT